GATAGGGACAGTGCACCAAGACCACTTCAATGAGGTGAAGTGATCTGGGTGCATTTAGTGTCACGTTAAGCACTTCCTTAAAACAAACAAACAAGTAATACATTCCCTTACTTGTCATGGGGGGCGACAGGGGCTGTAGTGGGTTGACAGTGGTTGTAGTATGATGACAAGGTTTACTGGGGTGACAAAAACTGTGGTGGGGTGGCAGGGGTTATACTGGGGTGACACAGACAAGGTCTGTAGTGGAGTGGTGGGGTTGCAGGGCTTTGGTGGGGTAACAGGAGCTGTAGTGGGCTGTCAGGGGCAATTCTGGGGTGACACAGATCGGGGTGGTGGGCTGTATTAAAGTTTCTTACCCTTCACTGAGGCTTACCATGGACCAGGAAGGGGGGGATTTGGTTCCCTGGTGGTCCTGCGGGAGGTGCAGACATCCCTAGTGCAGACAACTCATTCCAGCCAGCTGGAAAATGTATCAGAGCATTGCCATGGTAATCTGCAGCAAAGCTCAGATATAGAGTACAGTTCGACCCTGTGTATGTGTTATGAAATCATCTGCTCTGAGCTATGAGTCAATAAAGTGTCATTGTTTGCTTGTTTGGATTGTTGGTTGTTTATTTTAAAGCAGTCGATCACCTGTAACATTGAATATATTGCAAAGTCATGTATCTGTGTTTAGTCACGTGACTGTGATTCATTGCTCACTTGTGGAATTTCACATGTATGTGCTTTGTCATGTATCTGTGTTGTCACATTGCTGATGTTACATATCCGTGCTGTGTCATTCTCTTTGTGCTGTATCGTTGGTAATCACGAGTAAGGTGTGAACTGTTACTCTGTTGTTTCATATTTCTATGCCATAGGACAGGGGCGGCAAAAACATTCCATTTACTAGAGTATTCAACAGAACTTATATTGTCTCATTCCAAATATTCCCCCAGCCACCCCCCTCCTATTTGTCTCATTCTACTACCCCTCCATGTGTCTCATAACCCCACCCCTTTATGTGTCTCATTGCCCCCATAACCTCCATTCATGTGTTTCAGTCCCTCCCCACCAAGTGTCTCATTTCCTTAGCCCCCCATGTGTCTTATTCCCCCACCGGAGCCTCTATTCATGTGTTTCATTCCCTCCCCACCATGTGTCTCATTCCTTTAGCCCTCCCCATGTGTCTCATTCCCCCCAGCCCCATGTGTCGCATTCCCACATCCCCCATGTGTCGCATTCCCACATCCCCCATGTGTCTCATTCTCACAGACCTTCCATGTGTCTCATTCCCACAGCCCCCACCATGTGCCTTATTTCCCCAGCCCCCACCATGTGCCTCATTTCCCCAGCCACTCCATGTGTCTCAGTCCCCCAGCCTCTCCATGTGTATCATTCCACCCCAGCATCTCCATTGATGTGTCTCATTCCCCCAGCCCCTCATGTGTCTCATTTCCTCCCCCCCTATGTGTCTCACCCCCTCTGTCCCCATGTGCCAGCTTACCTCCTCCTTGTAGCAAGGTCGAGCAGCAAACTGCAATAGAGGAGCTTGTTTCCATCCACCCAGTCTGACAGAAAGCAGTTTTGCTCTCTCAGTGCACGTACTTCCTGTCAGACCAGGTACAGGGATACAAGCTCCTCTACCGCGATCTGTAGCTCGGCCACACCACATGGAATGACTGTCAGGAGGGAAGCGTTGTGCAGTGCTCTTCCCTCCTGCCAGTCAGCCAGATCCAGTGCCCCACAGGCCTAAGGCCGCCATTTCCGCCTTATGGTAGCGCCTGCCCTGAAAGGTTTTATGAGCAACATTGGATCAATCTAATTAGTCACACGCAGCTCGTGACCCGCAGTTTGGCCAAGTCTGCTTTAGGATGTATCTGTGCTATTATATTTCCCTACAGTTTAAATGGTTTATAATACCTGCAATCTTCCCAACATTGAGAGATACAAAATCAGAACTGGTCAGGCCTAAATGTGTGCCAGGCTAACCAACAATCTCTTTGGCCACATTCACTCAGGGTAGACTATGCAGAGAATGCAGCTGAAGCGCTCTCCGCATGGTCCTAGTGCCCCCAGCACAAGCATGGCTAGTGATATGCTTGCACTGTGCTGGCTGGGATTAGTTTCTTTGTGTCACCAGGAAACAAAATCTGGAATTCAGGACTGTTAGGGGACATGCATCAATGTGTGTTTGTAGCGTTTCTGTATCATGGGCTGCCACTGTCATTCAATCTGTATTGCATTGTATCATGAGTCAACATCGTTTTGTTTCTGCTGCAATAAATTGCAGTTCGGACTGTCTTGCCTCTGCTATGTCATATGCCAGCATTGTTTTTTTATTCTGACGTGCCATTTGACAAACCCAAACCTCCCAATCGTCACTTATTTGGAGGACTGTTTAGACTTGGGCTTCCAAGTCGGTTATTCACTGGTGTTCCACTTCTGGTAAGCGTGTCATTAATCACATTCATTCTTGAACAAAAGCATTTTAGGGTATTTCTGTCTACACAACAGCATTGTGACGGACCCGCTGGCACTCCAACCGAGTACCTCCGCCAATCGATGCTCCTAGTGCTTGCTGAGGACTCCAAGCACTCCAACCGACACCATCAGCACTGCAGACTTATCCCATCCCCCAAACATGAGCCAAGCTTCAAGAAAGGGTCAAACAGGTCTGTTTAATGAGCACCAAAGCAACAGCACTCATGCAGCAAAATGACAGTTAAAAGGGTCAGACAGTGTTTGACAATATGACAGTTATTAAGGGTTTAACTGGTGTTCTAAGGGGGGAGGGGGGGGACAAAACAGTCAAACTAAGTCCATAAAACAGGGGGTTTCTTCACACTCTGCATCCGAAGTGCACAGCAAAACTGCAGATCCTTTGCCAGAGCAGTTAAAGGGCCAGAACCAGTCTAATAAAATCCACTATGCCCAAATAACGTATTTAAAGGGCAACATCTTCCAGGGGCCATAGTCGCAGGGCAGGAGGCTGGCAATTAGTCCTCTCCAGGCACAAGTGGCGAAGGGCACTTCGTCACACATCTTCCCTCTGGGGGGGAGACTACCTGACCTTCTGTCGGTCAGTACCTGAGTTAGTCAAGTAGCCCACCCACAATAAACATTTAACAGAGTAGCCCACCCACAATACACCATTGCTGCCCCTGGTGATTTCTGGTGTCCGGCTCTGGCCTGTATGTCCCAGGTTGCTAGTGGACAGAGACCAGTGGCACTCTGCCCGGATGCCAGCGCTTCTGCTGGGTTGGCTGGTGTGTATTCAGGTTCTGAACAAGAGGTCAAGGGAGGGGGTTTTCTTCAAACTCTGCATCCGAAGTTCCATAGCAAAACTGCAGATCCTTTGTCAGAGCATTTAAAGGGCCAGAACCAGTCTAATAAAATCCACTATGCCCAAATAACGTATTTAAAGGGAAAAATCTTCCCAGGGCCATAGTCGCAGGGCAGGAAGCTAGCAATTAGTCCTCTCCAGGCACAAGTGGCGAAGGGCACTTCGTCACAATCATCTCATCAGTGTTCCCCAGAGAGATTCCACTACTTTGTAATGCGTGTGTGTTTTATATTTATTTATTTATTTTGTATTATAATTATGAATTAATTTGCCTTGCCAGCACTGACAGAGTTAATTAAACATTGTCTTGGTGGATTTGCTATGGCAATTGATTGCTTATTGTAGCTTTTTACATTTTTGGAAAAATTGGGCTATTCACTAAAATGTGAATTGTTGAGAATTTCTGGAAGTGATTTAAGGTGAATTTCAAATTACCGAAAAAAATACCTGAATTGGACAAATTCTCTAGCTCAGCAATGTTTTAACGTAAGCTATTTCGGCCTAAAAATGGAAATTGGCTTAGAATTTCTTATAATTCTCACTGTCGGTAACAGTCACAGCATATTCGACTGTCATATAGATGTTAAAGGCAGGGGTGAACCTGCTGGTAATTTTGTCATCTTATGGTTGATTATTTAACAAGCACATTACAAGTCCTTAGGCACATACATGATCATCATTAAACACTGTATCATCAAAAAACAGTGGATGCAGTCAGGATTCAGTCAGTCCAACCGAATCTCTATTATTTGTTTGAAAAATCAGTAACATTGAACGCACACCAATCTAAAGCATAGGAATTGGACATTTATCAACAACTACGTGGCGACTGATGATTTAATTTATTTTTTATTGGTGGTGGCTAGGGGATTACGGACATGCTATTATTTAGAGGGGTGGGCAATGGCATATCCACCCGTCCTCCTCCTTTTTAATGAATTATGGCCCCAAATCCTAATTGATATTAGGGCTCCCACTCATTGACCATGGGCCGAGGGAGGGACACTAGGTCTTCACCCCTTAATGAGTAAAAACTAGGTCCTCTGCCATGAATATTAGAGTAGCCCTTACACAATGCCCACGGGTGGGCGTCTGGGTGGACTATGTCCCAGCATTATTTCTAGCAACTGTTTGGGTCCTGAATTACAAACTCCAGACATTGTTGAATTCCATGAACAAAGTCTGGATATTGCAGTCTGAAAGGTTTTGCTGCAGTCACTACAGGGCCATTCGGACTTAAGTGAATAACACCGATGGTCATGTATAAGGTGAAGGAAAATTAAGAGGAAAAAAAAAAATTACTACAACAAGGATTCTTATAACAAGATTTCCATTCACAATACAAGGGGTAATCGGTCAAATCAAGCACTAGTTTCCTTTACTACGTAACACTACTGCACGTCTACAGACTACACACTGTACTTGTGTCTAACTTGTAAAATAATGGAACTTTTAAAATACTTCATTGCAATGACACAGAGAGGAAGTGAATAAGCAAAAGTATAGTCTATATTACATAAGTTAAAAAGAGACAGAGAACAGACAGTAAATGTATAGGGAGGGAAACAGGTTTCCTTATTGTCACAAAGATGAGGCAAGATGTTTAAGGGCAATTTATTTCCTGGAACTTACATCATTGAATAAAACATTAGAAATCACCTATAATTTGTATTCAGTTTCCTTTTGACTGTATATTTTCAGATTTAGTAGCTGGGATCACAATCGAGTACAGTCTAAGCATAGCAAGAGCACACACTACATTGCATTGTACTCGATCACATACTTTTTTTTATCGGTTTCAACCAATTACGTTACCACTGTTAAAGGCTTATCGGGAGCATATCAATATCACTAAAATAGACTTGTGAAAAATGTTTTTGAAAAAAAGATATCAGACTTACGCTTAAAAATATCGGATTTAGTAATTCAGCTACATTTTTTTTGTTTGATAAAATGTTATTTGTTTTTTCATAAGTTACATAAGACAGTATACAGCTCTGTGGATAACAATTACACACATAACTGTAGCAGAAACATGTTTAAATATGATACATATTATATATAATAGATATAAGATATACCCTTCAAATAAACATTAAAATAAATTGTAAAGATAATTTATCTAATTTATGCGTAAGTAAGACAGTTGTCATCAACCCTCAAAAAAAAAAGGGGTGGGGGGGGGAGGGAGGGAAGGGAAATAGCTATGCACTGTCAATCATCAAGCTAATATATGAGACATATTTACTTGTAATTAATAGACAGGAGGAGAAGAAGAGAAAAAAAATATGTAAAAAGACCTTAATATTTCTTTCAAGATCACTTGGAATTTTATATAAGACTAAATATTTTTTCTATGTAAATCTCAAATAATGTCTACAAAGGAATCCTGACTGATTCCTCTTCTGCAACTGTCACTAGTCTAATACTATCCTTACCTTTTTGTGTCATTTTACCCCACTCCCTCTAGCATGTAAGCTCATTGAGCAGGGCCCTCAACCCCTCTGTTCCTGTGTGTCCAACTTGTCTGCTTACAACTACATGTCTGTTCGTCCAGCCATTGTAAAGCGCTGCGGAATTTGACGGCGCTCTATAAATATCATAATAATTATAATAAGAAGAAAATGCAGCACAAGATTATATTATACAACAGGAGGTTTTGTTGAAGATCTTATTTCAGCCGCCCATTATCTGAGCCAGGGGCG